ATTAAGAGCGATAATTACAGTAGTGACTAGTTATTTAATAGCATTATCGAATAAGATCGTGCGGGCGACCGCGTTTTAGTCGTCTTTGAGGTGGTGGACGTATGTRTAAGTTGAAGTGTWTTGAGCCAGTTGATTTTTGGAGTGAACTATGGAAATTTTCTGCTAGAGCTTTTAACACATCATTGTAAAATCAATACATTCATAGCTCCTCTCAGATAATAAAACTTATTCATTTAATCATAGATTCATAACAAGAGCATCAAAATAAGCTTATACTGATAATATAACTGATGATGTATTTCAATAAATACAAAAATAAATTGACGGCMAAAAATACAGAACAGAACAAATTGCATGACATAAACCTAATTTCAAAYGAGTATTGACATATGTTCAAGCTTGTATTAAAAATTACCTTAATAATATCGATTAATTAAACATAAATAATTACAGATTATTCGGAAAATAATTTATAAAGTTATAATAACTAGTATAATAACTATTATTATAACTAGGTACTCACGTATATATGAATAGCATACATCAGGTACACCTATATCGGTTATACACTTATAGGAGCTGTACCTATCAGATATATTATACCTATATCGATGCAGTACCTATATATACCAACATTGAATAAAAGATCAGGACACAATACAGTAACCTAAAAACACMTAATAAATGCTTGTGTTTACAGTTAAAAATTCCATGGATATTATTCAATAGGACGTGACATTTTGTATGAATTAAAAAATAGGGTCGCTTGTAATAAAAAGTTTGTTCCATAATTCTCGTGAAATACTCACTATTTGTCTTTTGCCCACAAACAATTCAAAAAATATAAAACCCATCATGCTCAYGTAAAATGTATAAGGAACATACACACATGGTCAGTGTAATAAATATTGTTGGGTACCTACAAAATTATTGAAGTCGTAAAATATCAAAAAGTAATTATTTAAAAAAATAATATTAAATAGGTTTTATTCAGTGTATCAAATTTAAACACGTTTAAGTTCTAAGTACCTATACAACCATAATACAGTTAAAATACTGAATTAGTAAAGGTAGTTTTAGTGGATTCCCCTACCATTTTGTAATCTCTCATCAAATTTACTAATTGTAACCTAATTATCCTGTAAATTCTTATCATCATTATTTATAAATTATAAATCATGTTGACTTCAAAACTAAGATCACGATTATTTTACACTTGTCGAGAACAAACACTAGCTATGTATTAGAATAAAAAAGAAATCCGTCTTAAATCGCATTATTTACATAAGCTGAATATTATAAAATGTGAGTAAAACTTTTTATTCACGCATATAAAAAACCGAAGACGATGTTTGGTGTAAGATTTTGTGCAAAAGCCTACGGTTGTTAAATCTCAAGGATAACGTCATAATATGCTTGTATGTGGAACAAAAAACAAAATATATCATACAACAATTTGTAATGACAGTAAAAGGGTAGTTGGTAGCTATGAATTTTACATTGTTATTAAAATTCAAAAAGCACTATATTATATATTGAGCTTATCAATAATGAACGGAAACAGTCGGCGTACCGACTTGATTATATCGAGTTTAATACGCGGTGGGTATAGGTAATGGGTGTAGTAGTATATGTATAGTCAATATGTGTGCTAATATATTACATTATTATTTATTACGCATATCCGAAATACAGGAATTGAGCAAAATTGTTTTTGATATTAATCGATAATTTATTGAGTGTAATATTATTATAAAATACATTATTATATTTATGCATATATAAACACACTATCGCGATGCGGTATACAGATACTTCATATCCCCATTTATTGATAACTGTACCAATATAATATGTAGGTACCTATACCATGCATATACAATACATAGGTATAGGATTGCCGCAGGCATAACACCACAAGAACCCGCGGATACGTGTTTCCATATTTCGTTTCTGAAGTAAAAAAATCTTTTCAACAGCGGTAAACTTTTTTACGACGCTACTTACCATAATATACGGGAGCGTGTATTGTCGTCACACGCGATGAAGCTTCAGCAGTATGTTTACGGTATAGTCAATTTCTCCTGTGTATATTTATGACATGTTTTATTACTACCTCAATTCATCCTTAATTCGTACTTTAAAACTCTTGAACATCACCGCGGTCCCCGTCCAAAATGTATAATACTGTACCTACGTAAGTATATTATACGTATACGGTTTAGGACGCGAACAGTCTCGTCGAACATTTATTTTAACGTTCACTTAACGGACGGCAATAATTCGATTTTTACAACTTAAAACGTTTCCACCAAGAGTCGAGAGACGTATACATTTGGCAGTGGGTGAATTCTATCTTGACGGGGKKTTTTTTTTTTTTATATTCACAAGTTTAATTTAATTTAAAACAACAATCCCTCCACGAAAATAACTTCTAATTACGCTAGGATTTAAACACTTTAAGTTAAGTTAATATTTATTATTTAGATTTTTTTTTTTTAAGACTTCATCAAAAATAGAGATAAGGTTATATAATTATAAAATAAAAATACTCTTGAATAAAATTTGTCATTACCTACCTACTATAATAATACATATCATGTAGTCTCCGCCTTACAAGCATACAGGCTTTATCAAATTTATATTCAGTAGTTTAATATTTTTGTGTATTCAGTTTTAATGTTACAATAAATTGACCTATTTATATTAACTTTGTTATTTTTCTTAATACGAATATATTATGTAATCACTATTAAACGCATAAACAATAAGTAACRTTAGTAAACAGATGTATCTAGTAGTCTAGTACAGTAAAATATATAAAACATTCGATGAGGAGAACCTTTGTTACGAAATTGCAGTCGTTAAATACGATAAAAGCACTAAGTATGAATAAAATCACAATAGGAATATTATTATAATTTTGAAAATATCAAAGTTGTCCGAGGCCTATGACAGTTCAGAATATCTCTAATAACCCTGTTGAAGTCCAAGAAAGAGGAATGATTGATGCTTGCCGGTGGTGGCGCTAAAACTATACAATTTAATTATACAGCGTTTACGATTTCACGACTACGATAGTTATGACTAGTTATGAGTATGCGAAAGGGTCCGTGAGACATCTATAATAGTTGAGAAAAGGTTGAATACATATCGTATACTATATGCATRTATAATTACCTGTATATGTATATGTTTATATTGTTAACAATTAATCTATAATTATTAACTATTGAAATGCAAACATTCCATGATAACTTCTGCAGTTATGYGCTGAAGTTTTAAGGTCCTGACAGCGTGTGTACACCAGTGCTCACATATCCACCCAATTAATAATATTCCCGTGAAGTACATGCGCACATTATAATTATTAATTTATAATAATAATATTATAAATTATTATGGTGACCTTAACGTATAACATTTTGATTAATATAAATATTTCGTACAACCTGCAAAACGTCAGCGGTGACAACTGGCAATTTGTACGGCAGTCCGTATGGGTGTGGGTGTTGAGGCGGCAGTCTGGTGTTGATGGCACTGGTGCCGAGCATGTTCAGTTCGGGCGCTACGGCAGTGTCTTTGACTTTTAAATTGCTCTTGAATGGTTTTTTGGCGGCTGAAGACGAGGACGAGGACGAAGACGACGTCAGCTCGGTGCCACCCGCTGCGAATATCTGGTGCTGGTCCTGATGCTGGTCAAGCGCAAACGTGACCCGCTGCGAACGGCCAAACGAACCGCGGCCACCGGACGATGATGATGATGACGCGGACGCCGGGCGGCCTACGGCCGTGAACTGGTCAGCTTCAGCCATGGTGACAGCAGCCGGTAGAGGCAGTAACTCCTCGGCGGACGCGGTCCGCTTGTTTATGAACATCGGCCTGGACGTAGCCTGGTGCTGGCCGCAGTTGCACGACGATGACCGGGGTGGCCTGCCACAGTCGACACCTCCCAAACCGCCGTTGTGCAGTTGCATGTGGTACACTGATACCGGTGGCGGTGGCGTGGGCGGAAGCCCGGATGGTACGATACCGAAGTTCTGCAGCTGTTTGGTGCCGGCCGCCTGCAGTTTCTCCTGGATAAACGCCCGCTTGGCACCAAAATCCGGATCCCGAGCAGCCGCAGCCCGACCACCCGACTGCATGGTATGGTAGTGATGGTGATGATGATGGTGATGCACGGGGTTCCGTCCGTCCGCACTCGAGCACCGTTTTGTGAACTTTTTGCGCCTGTAGTCAAACGATGGTTCGCTCTGAGTCGACTCGACGTCCGTCTGAACACCCGACGGTGGGGCCCACGATGACCGCACGGACGAGGAGAGCAAAGTCCCGAACCGTGACTCAGTTAGGTTGCCCAGCGATTGGCGCCGGCACGCCGCGTCAAGCGTTGTTGCCGCTGACGAAGGCAGTATACGTGGACACGGTTTGGCCACCACACCGAGTGCCTCGGCCGCGCTTATTTTCCTGCCATCCGACGAACACTGCTTGTTCTGCTGACTGTTGACAGCCAGCAGTGCGGGTGACGAGCACCGGCTGCCGGACGATGACCGGAACGAAGACCTGGCTGAGTCTTTGGCCGGTGGCGGCGAACTCCTCTTGTCCTGCACGGCCACATCTGACGGCAAGCTGCCGCGCTTTTCAGCTGGTGGTGAGGACGAGACCGTAACCGCCTTTATCGCACTATCCGAATGGTGTCGGACCTTTTGCGGGTGTATATTCTTGACCGGAGACTCGATTGTCCGCACCCATATGTCTGCCGCACCGTCATCCTCGCCGTCGTCGTCTTCATTGTCGTTGTCATCGTCGTCCGTGCTCTCAGCCAACGTGGAAGTGCCCGAGTCCACTTCGACGGGAAGTTTCTGATCAGCAGTCGTACCGGTGATGACCGCAGTCGGTTTGACGGCGCATCCGCTTTCAAACTTGCTGATCAACGCCGAAGCGGACAAGTCTTCGTCCTGTTCTGCGGTCTCAGGTGGTAATAGTGTGAGTGGCGGAGGTGGTGGCATAACATTAGTGTCTACATCCGGAACAATAGTGCTAGGCGGGGATGGTGGTGGCGGCGGTGGAGGCGGTGACGGAGCGGTCACCACCGCCGGTTCCGTTTTCTTGCAGACCGGTTCCGATGCTGGAGCAGATCTCTTGGCTGGCACCGTTGTCAGTCTGGTCTGTTCACCCCTGGGTGGCACCGGAGGCGGTTTCTGTTTGGCGGTCGCCGTCGTCCCTTGCATTGCAGCCGTAGACGTCCTGACCGGTGGCGTCGGGGCGCCACCGCTACCRCCGGCAGTACCGGCAAACGTGTGCAAGGACGCCGGTACAGGCGTTTGTAGTTGTTGCTGCGGCGGACGGTGGTCGGCGGCGGCGGGAGAAGCCGCTAGATAAGTGAACGGTTTGCCAAACGCCGCAGCCGGCCGCATAGTATCGACGGAGACTATACTTCCGGTCGGACCGATTTCGTCACCGAAAGATCACATAAAAATTACACTTTCACGATCGAACCGACGGACGGACAGACGCGGTATTTTCGGACGTGTGGGGGAAGTTCGAAAACGGAAACGCTGACGCACCACAGTATGAGGTCTCACAATATATTCGACTGTCGCGTTGACGGAAAACGCGTGCGGCGAAATCGTCGACGGTGCACAGTGGTGTGCGCGCCCCTCTCGAGAGAGCCGCCGCGTGCGTTTGCGTGTGTCGTCGCGAACTGGGGACCCGACGCGAGCAGCGCGGACGGCTGTCGAGCGGCGGCGGCGGATCGAACGGCCGGCCGTGCGCATGACCGTTGCAAAGRAGCGCGACGTGCCGCTCCTAGGCGGCGGGACGTGCAGGAGGTCCCTCTGTGTATGCGCGCCGCGGAGGAGTAATACAGCAATTATACCGTGGAAACACCCCGTCCCACAGTTTGCGTGGTGCTATTATATATATCATGCCGTCGCCCTTCCGCGCGGTAGCAGCTTTTCATCTCCGAAAATGCATATTTTCTCCACGCGAAAAACCTAACCTATAACAACATGTTATGTGCTATATCACATTATTATTGTAAAGTTTTTTGATATCGATCAACTGTATACACATATAATTCACGACAGTACGACACGCCACGTACAATAAAGGTATACACACATTTATATATACACATACACAGCAGCAACAATATAGCGCCACMACCGCTACCACCCCCACCCCAAGAAAAATTTTTTTTGCGAATAAGTACAACTTTTGCGCGCGCAAGCACTTGTTTTTTAAAACATTTTGCATTGTGTGATGTGTAACACATTTTTATTGCTTTGAGTATTTTTGTTGTTGTTATGATTGTGATTGTTATTATTATTATTATTATTATTAAAGTTGTAATTGGCCAGTGCTTTAACACCTGTTCGAGGCATATATGAATCTCCGCAACTTTGGCGTGTGAACTACAGCGATATAGAGTTTTCCTTTCCAATACAATAACTAAATAATTCTATAAATCTATTGTAAGTATACGCGATTATTGACAATGCAGTAATGTATACCTACCTATTATATATATATATTGTTGCATGCGGCTTTTCCAGTGACCAATTATTTGGTTTTATTTGATAGACAAAGTTCAAGGTATTGTATAAAATTATAATATAAATTATCGTTTATTTTTAATGAGCGAAATTATGTTAATGTAAAATACTTTGTGTGTGTGTGTGTTCATGAGGCTGAGTGACGATAAGGTGCTCAGGTCTTAGCGGCTATGGTACATATAATAATATTGTGCTGTGATACAGGCTTTCTTATAAATGATGGCGGCTCCTTTGTTTTGATCGCTTAGCATTTTGCAGATGTTGTTGTTGTTGTTGTTTTCGAAAAAAAGTGTATTCGCCGAATTTTAGAAGGTCTATTGGTTCAGGATTTCTAATGCGTATTCCTGTCTGTACGATCTAATCTTTACAGTTTTGTTTTTAACATATATAAGTGGGTATTATACTTTATTACTACCGTTATTATAATAGTAAGCAGTTATTCTCGAAGATTCCGGGACTCCGTCCTAATTAATTTAGACGAATATTATGCCAGCTAACGTACAACATTTCTTTAAGGTTGCGTTTTTATTATTTTTCGTAAATTTTGTACCCCTCCCCCCCACCATGGCGTGCCTGCCGTTTCCATTGAAGAATTTATAGTATTACTAGTTATAGTATGTATTATTATGTCGATGCAATTTTTCACTTCAAATAATTCAATTATCGGCGAACCATATTTATACATACCTATAGTTGTATTACTATCAAAATTTAAAAATGTTACAATATAATATTATACACGATGTGTAATATACCGGCTATATCTCTATCAATGTCAAAATTCATAATAATTTTCTTTGACTCCTCTGGGTATAGTATTATTATTTGTGATAATCTCCGTTTAATAGTTATTACTAACTTATTAGTTTATCGAAAATATTAGGAAATACCCCCAATAGTAAGCAATTACAATAATAATATAAGTCAGGCTAATATTCCATGTTGTTGAAGCCTTATTTCTTTCAAAAAAAAAAAGTAATAATAATAATAATATAACAAATGTATCTGAAATAAACGAGAAAACTTACAAGAAATACAAAAATTAAAATATTAACATGTAGTTTTTCTTTTTATAACTTTGATCATAAATTATACTTATTCAAATTGAAAAAAGTGTACAAGAATAAATAGAAAATATCAATTGCTAAAACACTGTAGCTGATTTTTTGAAGAAAATAAACTGAAATGTACGACAGGAATATAATGAAATAAATACATTTACATTATTTACAATAACCCAACTAAACCTAATCAGACTTATTAATATAGTGACCACTAGAGAATAATTTCAGTTAATCTAATTTGATTAATAGTTTTTAATACTCAAAGGGTAGGTCTTGAATAATATAACGCAATTTCATCCATGTCAAAATACCTCTAAATTAAGTTAGTAGGCAATAACGTTCTACTCGAAAAATAGACACCAAATATGCGTAGGTATATCCAAGCAATATAATATAGAGGAGTAACTTAAGTTACAACTTACAAGTTAATGTACCTAACGAAAATAATTTTATGTAATTTTATGATAATTAAATTAAATTATATTGTAAGTAGTTTATACGTAATTCAAGTTACTTTTTTAGTAGATATTAAATTGATCGTTATTACTTTATTATGATTTTTTAATAATACATTTTAAGAACCAATTAATAATTATGTAAGTATATCATTTAAGACTTAAGTACAAATTTCTAACAGAAAAATGTCGGTATTAGCTTTTTGACAAACAGTTATTGTAGTAAGAAATAGTTTTTAATTGAGTAGTACCTAATAATTTGAAAAATTCAAAAAAATGTAACGCCAGCTAATAACCTCGTTGCTGATGACATAAACAATTAATAAAAAAAAATTTTGTAAAATACATGGTAATATTGTATTATTTAATTGACTTCTTATGTTTAACATATAAATATATATTATTTCATATTGTTAATTGTCATTACTTAATTCATGTATTGAGTAAATTGTTAACATAATCATTGAGCTTCAATGATATTTTTTAAAATAAAATGCAATGTAACTTGATATGTCTATAAAAAAGTAACTTAAAAATAATTAAATTATAATTTTGAAAGGTAAATTATATTGTAATTTATTTTTCTTAAATAATCAACATTTTCAACACTGCAGTCTGTATACCTTGTGAGTGCCTATAGGCTATATCTTGTAAAATAATACACCAAACAAATTATTTTCTCTCGTAAATTATGTTATTTTGTAGCAATATGTTATCTTATTTAACGTTATCATGATGCGTAGCTACTAACTGATTAGGCATCATTCTGTGCCAACCTGTACTGTATTCACTATTCAGTCTTCCGTCAACTAGTGTTTGGACAGTTAGTGTGTGCAATAGTGTGTGCCACGTACTGTATCAATATTTAATTGTAATTGTAAATTTTAATTTGATGTAAAATATATTAAAACCTGTGCGCCGTTAAATCACGACATTATATTATCAAGTATCGATTAACCCCATCTTGGATCTCTTCCTACAATTTCAATATATAGGTATTATGATACATATTATATAGGATATGTATGATATAGATTTACAACAAAATAGGACTACATATTCGCGGTAACCTTCGACTAATAGGTAGGTATGCAATTACAAAATATGTCAAGTTAAAATTAATTTAAAAGCTCCAAACTTAGAATATCGATAATATAATTAACTTTGAATGTGTAACTTATTTCAATATATTATACAAAAAGTAAAATTAAAAAATTGTAACTAACTGCAAAGATTATAATTTTATAAAACAAAAATATTTCAATAAAAGTAAATACAATTATTGTGTACAAATTTAGATTACTTGAGTTTTATAAATGTGTGTTTGATACTCAATACATTCATTATTTTCATATATTATAAGCTTTTTACAAACAAGAAAACCGTATTATCAATTATTATCAATTGGCTTCCCGGTAACTAAATCTTATAAATTATAATTAATTTAATTGTTTTTAGCTTTGAAAAGCATTTGTGTTCTCATTACTTTTTAAAAGTTTTGTTTTATAAAATATGTTATAATTTGTATATATCTTATACCATAAGATAATAGAACACTCTTAAATAATAAGGGGATTTTCAAGAACCATTATGTACCTGGTACCTCGGACAGCATTTTGTAGTTATAATGATAATATAGTAATATTATCATAACGTTATATAAATATTACCTTTAACAATATAGTACCTTCCATAAWAATACCATCAGGACCGTTTATCTTTATACCAAATAATATTACACACCATAAAGGATAACATCAAAATAAGATTGGATAACTGGTATACCATTTTAGACATATTTTGTAATTGGAAACTTTGAGTTATGATCGTGAATTATAATTTTTATACTTTATAACTTGATTAGGTATAATAATATAATTAACAATAAAGGTAAATTATAAATATTATAGATGATGATAGCTGGTAAGTAATACTATGCACGCAAACATAAAAAATGTAAATTCATTTTTAAATACAAATATTTTTTTTATATTTATTATTGTCTATTGATGAATTATTTATTTGACGCGGTACTAGGTACTAGGTACGCAACAATCATAATTATTATAATTAAAACACGCAGTTAAGATAGTAAATACCTGCAACTTTTGGATTGGCTATGTCACCAATCAAGTGATACAGTACCTAATATCTSAATTACAGTTACATTAAAGTGTTACATTTCATCAATATACACTAACGGTACACGGAATAATATACGGTTTACAAACTAACGGTGTTGCAAAATAGAATAGGTACTAGATAGATGTTCGATAATTTACGGATTTCCAAAAAAAAGTTAAGGACATTAATTGAAAACAAACACGGTTATCGAACGCGAAACCTATCTGTAATCTCAACTGAAAAATTGCATCCGTACCTTGATACCCGGAGTTTTGAACTCCAAAGTAGTCCTAACCGACAACTCAGCATTGACATAGTTAAACAGGACCTAGGACAAAAATTCAAAATTGACAAATTGATAACTTTAACTAATTTAGACTTTATTACGGTATATTTTACGGTGAAAAACATAACCAAGCATCGGATTTGTGGACCTGGTGTAGACACTTCCGACTCATCGCTATCTCGGTCAGAACGCACCCAGGATTTTAACC